CAGCCTTTATATGAAAAATTGTACATGAAGTACCTGGAATCAAACTGGTTGTAAGTTCACCTCGATCAAATGGTACAATGCATGGACTCTGATAAATTGGTGAGTGCATAGCACACTATGGCAGCTTTGTCAATAGGAGCCAGAGACTCACCTGGTTTTGCCTTTACCAACGAAACAATACCGTCTTCCGCAAAGTATGTGCGTGGTTATACCCCAGTTTGTGTTGTTATTATCACTATTTAGAAAACACAGCATCAATCCCACAAGTATCAGTAATTAGCTGAATCTCAAACTAAACTATATGCGTATGTGCCAAGTTTGGAAAATTTTTATTACAAAAGAAACATACAGCCTTGAAAGCTTAAAGAATAATCATTTTTCAATTGCTTGCTTGTTCAAACCTGTAACACAACCAAATTCAAAACAACCAAAGACAACACAGAGTTGTGGCATGATAAGAGGGGAAATCAAAACAGTACCGTAAAACGATCATACCGGCTTCCGCGAAGCACGTGGGCGGTGTAGTATCCAACAAAAAAAATTTACCGTTCACACAAAATAAAGGTATTACAATCCAAACTACAGCACAAGTCTTAAAATAGTCTACATTGGCATACCTAATTGCAAGTATTGACAGCTATTTAGAATGCATGACATTGACAAGTATTTGAGTAACACCTTCCACTTACACTTCAGACAGCTATGTCACAGGGATTGTAACCCGTGGTTATCCCCCAACATGGCTGACCCCGGTTTTTTAATTTATGCCGACGTCACGTGCAAACAAAGAATTTATTAATGTTTTCTTGTAATAGACCCATGTGTCTTTATAAGGATCAGACGTATCAAACTATTGTAAATTTCAACTGAGTTCAGATATAAAGAAAAACCCTGATCCTACTCCAATGTACATTGACCCCAGCAAAACAATAACGGCACCACATAGCCAAGCTAATGAGTTGGTATTTGGACAATATTCAGGACAACAATGTATTTCAATGAGTTTATGGTCTTTCATGTCATAGAGTTTCATAGAGTTGTAAAGTTGGTTTCTGAAGTAGCGTAGACAAACTCGAGGTATTAGAATCAAGCGTTAGTTCGTGCGCTTGATTCTTAAGTTTAACTAAGCATGGGATCATGAATCGTAAATTAATTTTGCTGTTTGTTTAGGCACGTACGTATTTTGAACGAGCTCTACGAGCTCCTTGACGCTACGTGGGTAAATAAAGTGTTGATTGATTGATGTACAATAACAAACAAGGAATTAATTCTGCTAATGATCTCTTGTCAATGATGAATATTGGAAATCCTTTGTATTCAAGTTTGTCTCAGTTAACCAGACAATCATTTTTAATCAGAGAAAATTACCCACACTTTTAAATGTGTTCGAGACTGACTAAGAACTTCAATACAGTGAGAGCTACACTGGTACTATTCATCACGAAGCTACAATAGAAGGGTATCAGTACTTTACCTCCTTAGATAGAGCCTTTCAATCACTTACATCAGAAAATTTAAACAATCTTGTCTTGACAATAGGATGTACTTCAGTTGGTAACTATTGTAAAGGTAATGTTTGCTTAAAAATATTTGATTCTCATGCAAGGGATATTTATGATAGAAGCCATCCTCAAGGTACATGTGTGCTGCTTGAAGTATCATCACTGAATAGCTTAGTACATTATTTTCAGAGTATACATAACAATGATATATTTGAGTTGAAAGGGGTTAAAATTAATAAAGTTCAAAATGCTCGGATGACTTATTCGCCCCAAGTGATGTTTTAAATGCAAGCATAAGAAAGGCAAATGTTGTCCGTCCAAATATTTTTTATGCAGAGATATATCCGTTGATAAGAGAAAAAAAAAGAGTAAATGCTGTGTACTGTGGGAATTCAGCTCACAACCTCTCGCTTTATGGGCTACCAGCTAGTTTTACAGTCAGGGGTCTTAAAATCAGGGGTTCTTACAGTCAGGGGTTCTTACAATCAGGGGTCTTACAGTCAGGGGTTCTTACAAACAGGGGCTCTTACAATCAGGGGTTCTTACAATCAGGGGTTCTTACAATCAGGGGTTCTTACAATCAGGGGTCTTACA